GAGGATCTGTGGAGTGATTATTAGGAGTTAGGAACAAAAAGATATGCCTTGTGGAAATTCCCGTAAAGACAGATATAGCAATCACCTAGATTCCCTATTACTACTGCATTCCTATTCTGCTCTTCTGAGGCAACACCTTGGGTGTCTACGAGACAACAAGGTGCAGGGCTGGATGAACACAGCAGGTCAAGCAGCATCATAGGAGCAGAGAGGCTGACGTTTCGGGCCTAGACTTTTCGGTGTCTAACCTTTTCCTTCTCCAGGACAAATGTGCTGACCATCAATAGTTCAAATTGACAGCAAGTTTCAAACTATGCACCACTTTTGTTTGGTTTGAGAAAGAATGATTGCTTTTGTTGAACACCAGCACCAGTACTGGAGCAGGAAAGATGGGACAGGCTACACCTGAAATAGAATGGGACTAGTGTCCAAAGAGAAAGCATAGAGAGATGGCTAAGGATTTAAACTACTAATATGGAAGGATCAAGAAATTAAACCTAAATATAAACCAAACAGGAAAGCAGAGTTTAGACTAAACTAGACATGGATAAAAATGGCAGGGAATAAATATAGAACAGGAATAAATATAGTAAAAGGATGATTAAAAATAAGGTACAAGGAGCAACAATTAAAATCTGCCTGCACAGTAATGCACAAAGTGCACATCATAAAACAAGGGACCTGGAAACAATGCACAAAGCAGATATGGTTTGGGCTTCTCCTTATTTATCCTTTTATAGGATATGAGTGTTGGTGGCAAAGCCAGAATTTATTATCCATCCTTAATTTCCCTTCAACAGAATGGCTTGCTGGGTCATTCAAAAATTAATATTGCTGTGGGTCTGAAGTTACATGTAGGCTTGGTGGTTGGTTAGCTCATTTGTGATGCACAGTGATATCATCAGCATAGGATCAATTCCCATGTGGGCTGAGGTCAACATGAAGGTTCTGACTTCTCAACCTCACCACTTGCCGGAGATGTGGTGACCCTCAGGTTAAACCATCACCAGTCATTTCTCTCTCTGGCATGAGAGTGGACTATGGTGACTACACATGGAGGCCAGACCCAAAAGACATTAGCAAACCAAAGAGCTTTTTGTGACAACTTGGATAGTTTTATGAAACATCAGGACAGGGAATTAAACATTTCAGGGTATAACGTATCTGAAAAGGGGAAGTAAAGTACTTGCACTTCTAAATGATAAAGTAAAGGCAGTGGAAAAAAAATGTCATCAATGAGACGTAAAAAGAATCCATGTGGATGGAGATAAAAAATGTTAAGATCAGTCACATTAATAATCATTCCGTCAGTATCACTGAATCAAAATCTTGGAACTCCCTCCTCAGTAGCACTGAGGGTCTACCTATACCAAATGGGCTGCTGTTCAAGAAGTCAGCTCACCACCACCTTTCTAAGGGCAACTAGGAATAGACAATAAATGCTAGCTCAGCCAGCAACATGCAAATCCCATGAATGAATTTTTTTTAAAAATCGGTGTAATAATAGAAAAGAAGTGGTAGAGAAAATATTCAAAACAATAAGAAATAAGAATAAAATAAAATAATAATTGTGGAGGATATTAAATGCCCCAAAATTATTTGCTCAGAAGTTGTAGATGAAAGGCAGAAGGGAATGGAGTTTCTATAATGTATACAGGACTCCTTCCTAATTCACTTATAAGAAATCCATCCAGAGAGGATGAGCTACAGGAATCTAGGAACAGAAATGAATAAAAACAAGTACAAGACAGATCTGGGGGGATCATCTAGATAATAGTTACCACAATGTATAGGTTTTGAGATAGTAATTGCAAAGGGCATAAACATAAAGAAAATAACAATGATTTGGAGAAAAGATAGCTTAAAGGGTTGAGAATAGAACTTTGGAAAACAAAAAGGACAATATTACAAGCAATAATGTAGAACAGCAATATGAAACATTTAAAACAGTGTTCAGGAAAGACCAGAAAACATGCATTCTGCTAAAGCAAGAACAAACTTAACACTAAGGAGACACTTTGGATAAATACAATACATCAGTGAAACGTTGAGAACAAGGAATGAGATATACATGAAATATACTGAAAGCAGAGGAGAACAAGGCAAGGGAGATGATGATGAGATTAGGACAGAAATCAGAACATCAACGTGGGGTCCAAAGAGGAATTTTGAAATTAAATGATCGAGGAACATGAAACAAAGAATAACATATTGCACAGGCAAATAATTTAAAAAGTAATAATCGGATTTGAATGAATTATGAGGATAACCTCATAGGCAATGATAGCTGTTATTTACTGTTTATATGTTTGCTTGCAACACTGTTTTACTTGTTGATGATAATATAGACGCTATAAACCACACTGGTGTTAGTCTCATACTAAAAATGGCCAAAAATTGATAAACCACACTGGACGGATAGAGGTGTGAACAATGGGGATTTTCTCGGTTTGGTGGCAGAGAGTGGGGTAAAAGCTGGTGACCTGCGAGCAGTAGTTGGGTGTTGTGTCTTGAATCTGCAACTTTTTAATCCAGAAGTAACTGTTAACTCTGAGCCGCAGCTGAAGCTCAATCCACAAGTGATTTGACCCATGCTCGCTATGAAAAAAATTATTGTTTAAGACACTTGCACAACTTCTAATGATAAAATTCACTACAAATATTTCCTTACATTGAAGCTCATTTTATGGAGGGATCACAGACATTAGGTTGCTCACTGGTGCCCACTAAAAGTGCACAGGAGCCACAGTCTGTCATATTATGCAAAATCATGGGATTAGATCTTCCACATGCTCTCGGTCTCAGAATTTGCTGTGGTGTGTAATTGTTCAAGGTAGAAAAGCCATCCACTCCAGATCAGATGTATCACCGAGAAACATAAGAGTGGAACTGATAATAGTGAATTGAAGAGTGGAACGGATGGTAATAAAGGCTCTGGCCACAAACCCTCCCAGAGGTCCGTAAATGCTGCAGCCTGCACAAAATATGGGAGAAGAATCAACACAACAATTACAGGCCAATCTGGGATACAATGAATCTGCACCTGGAAAAACATAAACAACACTCAGCATAGATTTAAAAACCGAAAGAATTGCGGATGCTGTAAATCAGGTACAAAAACAAAGTTGCTGGAAAAGCTCAGCAGGTCTAGCAGCATCTGTGAAGGGAAAAATCAGAGTTAACGTTTCAGCTCCGGTGACCCTCCTGAGCCTTTCCAGCAACTTTGTTTTTGTTCAGCATGGATTTGTTAGTTGAACATCACGTGTGACATGATTAGGTTTTTGATTAAATAACAGAAATGGTTGTTGAAGATCAGACAACATTTAAAAGGCATCTGGATGGGTACATGAATGGGAAGGATTTAGAGGGGTATGGGCCAAATGCTGGCAACTGGGACTAGATTAATTTAGGATATCTGGTTGGCATGGACAAGTTGGACCAAAAAGTCTGTTTCCGTGCTTCACATCTCTATGACTCTATGTGGTTGATATTGTGCAGACAGTTTTAATCTACCTGTTCAGATCTGGTGCAGATGGGACTTGAACCCAGCCTCCTGGCTCAAAGGCAAAGTTACTCCCACTCTGCGACAAGAGACCTCAGATGGTTGATGCTGTGTATAGCGATCTTCAAGAGCATTTGATGAAATACCATGTAATAGATGTGTTTATCTTCTCTTGCAGGATTTGGGCCAGCCTTTATTGGCTGTCCCATGTGCCCTTGAGAAGGTGATGGTGAGCTGCCTTCTTAAACGGCTGCAGTCCCTGACCTATAGGTAGGCCCACAATGTCATTATGGAGGGAATTCCAGGATTTTGACCTGGTGGTTCTGAAGGAACGGCGATGTTGAGTGGTTTGAAGGGAAACTTAGAAGTGGTGGTGTTCGAGGTATCTGCTAACCCTTATCCTTGTAAGATGATACTGGCTGTTGGTTTGGAAGGTGAACTTCTGCAGTGTATCTTGTGAATAGTATACATTGATTGCTGCTACCTTGAGTGGGTAATGGAGAGAGTGAATGTTTGTGGATGTGATGCCCATGAAGCAGGCTGCTTCGTCCTGGATGGTGTCAAGACATACGGGACAAAGCAAAATTGAAGCCCAAGACTAAAAGGGCGGTGGCAGCTGAGGTTAAGAAAAAACCAACTGAGACCGAGATCAGAGATGTTCTTAATCTTGTGGGAAGTCCTCAGGACCAAAACCACTGCTCTTTTTGATGTGTCTATTTCCTCAGGCTATGATCCCAGCAAACGAAAGATATCAATAATCCACAGGAGACCTATCTCAGCTTACTTCCTTCCCTCGCCCAATCTGCTCGATTTTCTCTAACCGTCCTCCCACTGCCTCTGTAAATTTTCACGGCTCTCTCTCGCCAATTGTACCACACCAGCTAAAGGAGCCTTACTTCTGTGGCGGGCCCTGACACAGCTCGACCTCCAGCGGTTGTCAGGAATAACATGATTTGTGCCATGAGGACACGAGGGAAGTGCTCACTCAAGACTTTGACAACTCCTTTTAAAAGAACGATGCTAATGAGCAGAAAAATGACAATCCGTTTTCTAAATCACAGCCCACTTCCTAACTCTTCACGGCTCGCTCACTCTCTTTTCCACCCGTCCGCCCGACAGCAAGCAAAGCAACTTTTGAAACCTTTAATCGCGGAACCACAAAGTGTCCGAGTGAATAAAGAGACTTTATCCGCTCCGAGCTCCCACCGGAGACGGGCTGTTTGCAAGCAGCTCAGGAAGCGCACCCTAGACGAAAGCAACTTGCATTGGGATGGCGCCTTTAACTCGGCAACCAACGAAGGAGTGAGGGCTCATCAGTTCGCAGTCACTTTGCGTTGCAACTTCGGAAATTTTTGCAAAAAAAGAAATCCAACTGTTCACACAGGGGGAATGACAATTTTCCATTAATCCGAACCATTCCACTTTAGACAGTGACGCACAATCAGGCAAAAAAAAACACCGAATCGAGCTTCATTCATTCTGATTTTTTTTTCCTTACCGTCGTTTTGAAACGATTGCGGACGATCTTCAAGCGCTTACTTTTGCCCAGTGGGACTTCTCCGGTCGGGCCCCTCTCCCTCAGCAGCTGTGTGTGACCACGCGGCTGATTGACAGCTCCCGGGTCGGTCGCCTAGTTACCAAAGGACGCCGGAAGTCCCGGTTCCAGTCGCCGAGCAACAGGAGGACTCCGGAAGCAGCGAGCGGGAATTTTAGCGCCCAGTGAAAGGCAACAGAGAGAAGCTGTTAACGTCAATTTAGCAACTCCCTCATCCCCCTATCATCTCATCGGGTAATCAATCCTAGTTAAATAGGGAGTGAAGGAGAGGTGCTAGGAGCAACATATGGTTTACCTGAGCATGAGATACTCCACAGAGCTACATGTGACATGTAGCTACATGTTAAACATCGAAAGCAACAGTTTTTGGACCCTGCAGGATTCTAGACTCAATATCGAGTTCAATAACCATTGGGCTTGAGTTTTCCCATGTCCTTACCCAAACCCCCACACACCAGGCCTTGTTATCACACACAACCCATTGTTAGCCACCAACAATCCCCATTAATAGCTCTTCATCCACCTATCCAGATTGTTATCCACTCCTTTGTTAGTCCAACTGCTCTTCTCTCTCTTTGGGCTCTATCCCCACCTATCGTTTACTCCTCATCTATTCCCCCCACTCTATCTTCTGCATACGAATCAACATTTTCCTAGTTACCATCAGTTCTGAGGAAGGGTCACTTGACCTGAAACATTAACTCTGGTTTCTCGCCACTGCTGCTATCAGACCTGCTGAGCTTTTCCAGCAATTTCTGCTTTGGATCAGAAGAAACAGGCAATAGATAGAACTGAACGATCCCAGGAATGACTATTAGAGCAATCTAATTCTATCTTTGCCTCACTCAGTCAAGAATGGTGGTAGTCAGTCTTACAACTAAGAGAGAGATTAAGTTCCATTAACATCCCCATCAGTGATGGTAATACCCACTACAAGACAAATTTGAAACAAAGACATTATGTTTGCAAATGTCAAATACATAATCTCACTGTGCCTTACCCCAAGGTCACTAATATCAAATACAGTACTGTCTCGCCAATTTAGTTCACTCCATGTGACATTAAAAAGCAGTTCAATCACAAGACAGAGCAAAGACTGTTTTTGCAATTTTCAGCTGTAGTGCATCCCAGAATTCTAGATTCCAATGCAAAAATCCAATCTAAATGTAGATTCCAATGTTGAAAAACATTCAGGTGTTTCCTGTCCACAAAAATTAGGAATTTCTCCCACAGAACATATATCTTCTGATCTTGAGACAGGTTTTTCTCTCTTTGTCTAGTGCCTTCCCACTTATATTTGCAGTTCTTCTGATGCTTTATGTCAATTCCAAAATTTCCAGTTTGTGGGTTCCATCTGATTCTTCTTTATCATGGATGGGCAATCCCTCTACATGCCCTCCCACATCAGGATGGTCTTAGGGCTCACCGCTTCTCCCTGAAAAGAACTCCAGAACTGACCCCCATCCAACACCACTCTCCTCTGCCAGGCAGAGTTGTTGTCACTTTGAACAACTTCTCCTTTAACTCCTGTCACTTTCTTCGGATCAAAAATTTGACCATGAGTACCTGCATGGGCCCCAGTCACACTTGTCTCTCTTTTTTGTTCAAATTCTACTAAGGTGCCTACCCACAACTTTTTCTCCGGTACATCAATTACATCATTAGTGCTGCTTCCCTCTCTCATTTGAAATTGGAAAAATTTAGCAATTTTGATTTCAACTTCCACACTGTTCTCATCTTCACCTGGTCCATCTCTGACTCCATCCTTCCCTTTCTTGCCATCTGTTTCCATTTCTGGGTGCTCACTGACAGCCACTACAAACTCACTGACTCCCACAGTTATCTTGACTATATATTCTCACACCCTGCTTCCTGTAAAGACTCCAGTCTATTCTCCCAGGCTCTCCACCTCCACCATGTGTTCTGATGATGTTATTATCTGCAGGAGTCCTGAGAAATGTCCACCTTTTTCCTTAACTGTGGATTCTCCATTACCATGGTTAACGAGAACCTTAACCATATTTGATCCATTTCCTGCACTGCTGCCCCTTCTCTTCCTTCGCACAACACAGATAGGATCCCTCTGGTTCTTATTTTCCACCCAACATCCTCCACATCCAAAGGATCATAAGCTGCCATTTCCAGGACCTCCAAAAGGATCCCATAACCAGACACATATTCCCTTCCCCTGTCAGCATTTCATAAGGACTAGTTCCCTCTGGGTCATCCTGACCTACTCCTGGTACATTTCCAACACTTCTCCACATCCCCAGGGCACCTTCCCATGCAACTGCAGAAGATGCAACACTTGTCTATTTACCTCCTCCTTCCTCAATATTCAGGGCTCCAGAAACACCTTCCAAGTGAACCTGCATTGCACTCAAACTAGTCTACCAAATTCACTGCTCACAGTGTGGTCTCTTCTATATTAGAGAGGCTAAGTGCAAATTGGGTGACTACTTTGCAGAACATCTTTGTAAAAATGACCCTGAGCTTCCAGATACCTGCCATTTCAACACACTGTGTTCCCTGGCCAACATCTTTGTCTCAGGTTCATTACACAGCTCCATTGAGGTTTAGAAAGCTGAAAGAATAGCATCTCATCTGCTTGGGGACTCTGCAGCCTTCAGAATTCAATAGTGAGAACAATAATTTTAGAGCCTTAACACCTCCTTCTATATCCTTTACCCACCCCAACCCCCCCATCACAGACTGTCATGAAATGGGCTGGTCTCAGCATAGTCAACCCATTTTCAACTACTAATTGTCCCCATTAATAGCTTTTCTCCTTCCCTGGTTTACTGTCAATCATTCTTTTGTCTGTCTTATTTCCTCTCTGTCTCTGCCTATCCCACCTCCCATAACCCCCATCATCAGCACATATGTTTTCCTAGCTGCTATCAGTTCTGAAAAGTCATCACTGAACTCAAAACATTTGCTTCCTCTCCACACATCCTGCCAGATCAGCTGAATCTCAGCAGTAATTTCTGTTTTTGTTACAGATCTTCAGCCTCTGCAGTTCTTTGCTTTATTAAATCTAATAATTACTCTTGTATCAGCTTCCCCCAATCAACCACCATGCAACTGATGGAGGGATCATCAATAATGTTGTCAAGTGACATTTGCTCAACCATACAGCTTGTTGATACTTCATTCGGGTAACCTCGGGTCACACTGCTCCAGACCTCATTACAACTGAATGCCAGAAAATAACAGACTTGATATCAAGGAAAAACCGAAAGAACCGCGGATGCTGTAAATCTGAGGAAGTTCTGAGGAAGGTTCACCAGGCCCGAAACTTTAATTCTGTTTTTTCCTTCACAGATGCTGCCAGACCCGCTGAGCTTTTCCAGCAACTTTGTTTTTGTTAGATTTGATATCAAGGTACATTGAGTATCACAGCTAGGAGCCTCGAGATCTGGGTTCAAGTTCCACCTTCCACCATAATCTCTGAACAGGGTGTTTAGAAATTATCTAGAAAAACAATCCAATGGCTGGAATCATGGCTGCTAAGGATGATGTTGGTGTTGACCACAATTGCCCCAGGAACAAACTGCATAAGTTGTTCTGAGATCTGAGAATTCTTCTGTCAATGTCTGAACTCTTGCACATCAAGGTAATTGAATTTGGAAGCAGAGGACAGTTTGGGCTCAAAATGGGTCTGTACCTTTGGTGGGGGAGATGACTGGACAACAAAATTAGTTCAAAACAAATGGTAAAAATGAAAGCTTAGTGTGTTACCAGTCTCAGCGTGTACAGCATTATGTTGCACATAACACACAATATTTATTGCTAGACACATTACACCTTTTCAGGTGGGTAGATGCTTAGACTTTTTTGTCAAGAGCAGCAGCAGGCAGAGCTGGCAATTAATGACTTTTAATCATGGGTTTAATGACTCTGCAGTATGATCCTGCAAACTAAAACTGCTTGAGATTAATCAAAAGAGCAGTTTACTCCCATCACAGTAAAAGGCACCGCCCAGACTGCTCCAGTGGCAACAGGCAATGGTAGCAGTAAGATAGGTGCAATTGTGTGGGTTCAGGGGGCAATCGATTTTAAAAGAAGGAAAAGCATTAACTGGAACACAAGGTGGCAATCAATCCAGACTGCCATGGACAGAGTACTCTAGAACACAGTAGGCAGTAAGCAATCTAGAACCTGGTGGGATGCTCTCACTGGATGTCACATTCAATGATCATTTTGACTAGAGTTTCCTGGCAGCATCTGACATTCCAGCATGCTGAGACAGCATTACATACTCAACCAGTGCCTGAATACTGAAAATTCAGTTTGCTACAATTAGAAACTAAATGATATGAGAGAAATGTCACAACCAATACAACAGTGGCTCTTTATTTCTGATATTATTTTATTTCTACTTTTTTGGCATTTTTTGTCTTTAATCTCACAAGAAGGGTGTATTCTGCTGCCCTGTCAGTTCAATGTGGATTTTGATTGGTGCTGGTTAGGTTATATCTAACAGTGGTGGAATATGCAAACGAGCAGGTCGGTGCTCCCAAAAGCTAACATTTTATGCAAATAATTGATTAATGTATGTAATTATATTCCTTTAAGCAATTCAAATTTACATAGAAAATAAGGAGCTTTGGCTACTTGCATAATTAAGCAGGTTATAGAAGTACATGGGAAGAGCATGATTAACACTGAACACTGGATGTATCTTTGCACCATTGAAAATGCAAACTATTCTTTTGTGTGGTTTCAGTAAGCTAGATTTTCTGCACATTTTCTATCACTGAATATTACAAAGTAGAATTAGAGAAAGGCATAATCACAATTGAGTTTTTCGGTACTAACATTGCGAATAAAGTCAACTTAAAAATGGCACTCCCTTCATATTGCAGACATGTCATAATATTTACTGTTCAGACCCTGGTGGCAGTCTTCAGTGGGCAGGTGATCCAAGTGTTCCAAGGTAAGGCAACACTGATAATTCTTGCACAACCCACCAGAGTTTTGTGAGTTTTGTCCCGAATTCAAGTCTTATCATGGTGGGAACAACAG